ATGCATCCGTGGTCCGGCCCCGTCGCACATCGCCGTGTTGCGAAGCCACCCCAAAATACACGAGGAGAAAGGTGCTGCTACTGTACCTACCGCTCCGTCGATGAAACCACCACCGCCCACCTGTTCGTTCCGCCTCCTTGGGAGACCAGTCCTTGGGTCTCAGCTCCTTCATCCAGCCCATCATTCTCTCCCGGTTCACCGCCAGAGCCTTCGAAGCCCCTTCCACGAACGCCTTGCCGCCCTCTCCCACGCCCTCCGTTGCCCCTCCCGCCGTCTGATCTCCGCCACCGCCGCCGCCACCGCGACCACCGACTCCTTGCGGAAGCCCGAAGCCCCTGCCGGGTTTCCTAAACTTGGAGCGAAGCTTAGCGCCCACGCCGGCGAACGAGGAACCGACCCCCCCCCCCCCCGGGGTCGCCACTTCTTGATGATATGTACCTCGAGCAACTACTTCGGCGCCATCTCCACCCCCGCCCCTGGTCTCGTCTCCGTTGAACCCGTTTGCGGGACCATCCGCCGCCGTCGCCGCCGCCGCCGCCGCCGCCGCCACCCTGGGGCTGTCCTCTCCCGCCACATCGACGTTCTCCAACCGTCTCAACATGTTTAGGAAAAGACCTTCGCCTGGCGGGGAGGGGTCCCCGCTATTCCCGCTTCCTCCTGCGTCGCCCCCGGCGTCTCCGCCGTCGCCGCTCCCGCCGAGCATGCCTTGGGCCTGGAGCTCGGCCCGCAAGACTCCCTAGTTGAGAAGCCACAAGTTCCGGCGACGGCATCAGCGGCAGTCGCAGCAGCAACAACAACAACGCCTCCCCGCGCAAACATATTCTTAGCGCGGTGTACACCATTCCGTCAGGCACGGATTTAGGATCAAGACGAAAGCTAAAACAACGAACAGATGTGAAAAAATGACGCGTTCACACAAGCATTGAAACGGGCGGACGGTGAAACCTCAAACGGAGCATCTACCGTCACGAGGTTGTTCGCTGTGCACATGTGCTTCGTGCATCGTTGCACCGTGTCCGACTTGAGACACCGGGAACCCTTGCAGGATTAATAACGGCAACGGGGGGGCTGGCTCAACATCAGATGACACGCGTGTCGCGTTACACGAGCACCGTTGACAAGCGTACAGCCGCAACAACATTACAGGGAGCGAGCGGCAACAAAACAGCAGCACTACATACATACACACCTTGATGTGCGACATCCCGGGAATTCGCGCTTCCCCCCCCGGCAAGCTTAACCCCCCCATAAAGTCATCAAGGTCAGCCAGCAACGAAGATGCTCCGCTTGTAGCGCCGCCACCGCCGCTGGCGCCGCCCCCTGCCGCATCAGTCTTACTGGTTACCGCGGCAGCTTGCCCTCGCTCAGCGGTCGGCGAGGCGGGCGGGGACGGCGCGGGAGAAGCGGGGGGCGAGAGCGCCTCCGACCTTTTCTCGACAGGCAGGGGATGCGCAAAGATTCACACGCGCAGGGGCAAGCAAAGACAGCACGAAGGGGACAGGCAGAGCGGGATATAGAACTGCTGCGTCGAGGAAGGCCAGCCCGTACGGGGAAAGTAGCATGCCTTTTTTGGACCACACAAGAGTGTTACGAGAAACACGAAAGGAGCAGACCAACCAAGAGAACTCTTCAGGCTTCCACCTGCCCCTACACCCCCGTATCCGGGCCATGCCCCGGAAATGACGCTACTCGACTGCGGCAGCGGGGCTTCTCCCAACACTGCCGCTAAAATCGGGAAGACACATGCACACACACAAGCACACGATGCATCGCGCAAATAGCGACCCTCACGACACGTCCGCTGCTCTGACCTCGAGAACTTCATGACGAGAGGGCGAGGGAGGCCTCCCCTGTCGGGACCCCTGCAGGCCTTGAGGATGTCGGTGAAGTCCAGGAGGCGGGCGTTGCTCCCGTTAAGGTGCGTCAGGACATCGCCCTCCAAGAGCTTCGATTGGACGAGAGCGGCGGAGAGGAAGGGTGGGCATGCTCGTTTTGAACAAGCCAGACACGTTTGTGATGGGGGATTGCCGCTCCGGCAAACCTCGGCGCCATCTTTAGCAATCGCTGCCTACGATCGCACCCCGTGCTGCACCCGGGGAAAGAGCACAAACTGGAACTGCACAGACGCCAACAGCACGCCCTTCTGCACTCAATCATTGCAGGTAGAACAGCTGCGCGCGCCCCGCGATGCATGTCGCAACGCCAAACATCTCAAGACTCCTTACGGATGTGCCCCGCGTTTGGTGCGGACACGACAGTCGCAGCAACGGCGGCAGATCGCGGGGCAATGGCACGGGAATGAAGCTGGAAGCGCAGCCGTCTTAAGCAAGACAATACCCGTGTAGCGTACCAATGAAAGTCACACGTAGTTATGCTCGTGCTCACCTGGCCGTGCATTTCGAGGGCGCTGAGTCCGCCGTCCTCTCGCGGGACGAAGCCCGTTACCTTCGGGAGGGGGGGGGGGGGGGAAGGGGGG